CCAGTTCTACCACTGTAGACTCTGCTAATCATGGACTGAAAATATTTGGGGAGAAAAAAAGAGAAGAAAACTCGTTGTTTCTGGACCGAACATGCCATATTGTCATTACTCTTTTTATAATAGTATCTGACAACTATTTAGATCGCATTAACATTGTATTGGGTATTTTAAGTAATGGAGATGATTTAAGGTTTATGAAAAGGTGCAAATGGGTTATATGTGAATGTGATGCTGTTTTACCATAGGGGCTTGAGTGTCTGCAGATGTTCATGTCTGCACAGTAGTCCTGGAACTAATCCCCAACAGCCACCAAGGGACAACTCTACTTTGTTGTTGTCCACACCGTCAAGGACTGGGACCCCCTTTCCACCAGCTGTCTACTCTAAGAAGTTCCATGTTCCTTGCCATTGCTTCTATATTACACTAGAGACTTCCTGTGAGAAAGGTCAAGTGTGACCACCAAGGCTTTCAAGTGAAGAAGCTGAAGCCTGTGCATAAGCACTGGTAACTACCAAGGCCTCCTCACAAGCAAGCCTGTACTTTCTCCTTCACCGTGTGTTGCCCAAAGAGGAAAGGCAGCAGCTTCGCCACAAGCCCCGCTGCACCTACACAGCACCTGTAGGAATTATTTTAAAAGTGCATAAACTTGTAACATGGGTGTCTTGGTGGAGATAACAGGTGTCTCGGAGGTGGTTTTGTTCTCAGAAGCAAAACCAAACAATTTGCTGAGGATCATGAATTTATATTCATTTCCAATTCTGAAATAGTAGAGGGTGTCTGAAGGCACTAGCCATAGAGACAAAGGCAAAGAGCTTCGGCCCAAAGAAAGAAACACACAAGGAGGCGCAGGAGGAACACACGCCTTTAACCCCAGCACTCAGGAGGCAGAGGCAGGTGGACCTCTGTGATTTTCAGACCAGCCTGGTCTTAGAGTGAGTTCCAGGACAGCCAGAGCTATGCAGAGAGACACTGTCACAATTTAAGAGACAGAGAGAGAGAGAGGGAGAGAGAGAGTGTGTAGGGAGACCTGTAGCATCTTGTGGGTGAGATAAAAAGTCAGCACTCGCGCGCACACACACACACACACACACACACACACACACACACACACTCATCCATGTATACACACAGAAAGAGTTCAAACCTAACACAGACACTTGAGGAAGCAACCAGAAAAATGCAGTCTAAAGAGAAATCCTTTAGAGTCAGATCTGCCTCCAGCCCAAGGCCCATGCCTCAGGTTCCTTTTCTACAAGACAGAAATAGTCCAGTCATATCACAGGGCCACCCTGAAGCTCAGATAAGACTCAATATACAAGTCTGGTGAGAAGGCTCGGGAGATAAAGCTCTCGTCCGGCCAGCTTGGGGAGCAGAGTTCAGATCCGAGATCTACTTAGAAGCTGAGCTGGTGTGGTGGCCGCCTGTAATCCCAGAGCTTGGGAGTCAGAGACAAGGCATCTATCCCTGGAGCAAGCTGGTGAGCTAGACTAGTCAGAATCAGACAGCTCCAAGTTGAGTGAGAGACCCTGCCTCAATAAATAAAGTGAAGAGAAATTTAAAAAAGACAATGTCAACTTCAGCCCTCCATGCACACACACACATATACACACACATACATACATGCATATGCACACACATGCACACACGTGTGCCCACACACATTAGCATGTACATGCACATCTACACACATGTACCCACACCCATGCTTACACACATGTATACACACATGCACATAAAAAAGATACAATATGCTGTAATACTTCCCACAGTGCCTGACAAACAACACAAAAAATACCAACTACCTTCTCTTTCCCTCTCCTTCTCTGTGTCTTTCTGGGTTTTCCCCCTTTTTCATTTTACTGACTTAAAATACTTACAGCAGTTTTAAAAAAGCGTTCCTCCATATTACACAGTCATTTACACATATGTATCTGTTGCAGCACCATAATTTGCAAAGAAAAAGGAAGTAGTAATTTTAACAGGAAAGTGCCAGATCACTTGCATTGCCTGCTAAAACCTTTAGCTCTACAGTCTACGGGGACTATTTGCTCTTGGGGTGCAGAAATAAAGGAAAAATTCTCATGGGAAAAATCATCCCCCCAAAAAGAACAGCCAACAAAGAGAAGATAATGAGGGGAAGTCTAGGGGTACATAAAGGAGTTTATTTTACTTAACAAAGTAAAAGTCAGCAAAATGAATAATCTGCCTGCCTCCAGAAATGGTTATTTAAAGGCTTTTTGTAAAGGGCTCTGGTTCCTAAAAAGACAGGAGTCACTGCATATGCCCACCCACTCTCCATTTATTTTTAAACTCTAGCTTATATGTTCCTTAGCAACAAGAGGAACAGATGAGACCCTCCCTACACACACACACACACACACACACACACACACACACACACACTCCTCCAAAGCCCCCTTCTCTCACACCAACTTTCACTCTACAAATATTCATGTTCTTCAAGACATTCCCACCTGCTCAAGAATCTCCACGTCACCACCTCAAATGATCCCCTTACATGGAAGCTGTACCTCCTACTCAGATACACACTTCTGCATAGACTCTGTGCCCCAGGGCCGTCCTGACTCTTCCCCATCCTAAGCTGAACCCAGAATCCTCAGGATCATATGGAGGCAGTGGGGTACACCCTGAGGAGCCAACACCAAATCCAGACCAAATTGCTCCTTGCTTACAGATCCCTCATCTGCCTTTCGTCCAGCCCCATCTCTGAGTTCAGCACAAAAGGCCACCATGGCAAACAGGTAGAGCATTATTAGTTCTGACTCTAAAAAATAAATAAATAGCAGTGACCAAAATACAGAGCTTACTCAGGATAAACACATGCCAGGGGAGATCACTACTCATTGCCCTTCGAGACTATCTGGCTTGGTTTGGCTGGGCAGTTTATGGGTTCAAGGGTCAATTGTCGAGCCTTTGAGACAGCAACTCTCAGGTAGTGATATGTAAGCATCACATAAGGAGTGTGAGAACCATCCTCACCCACAAAGAGTGGAGGCTGTACACCTTGAGACAGCCACCTGAGGTGCTGTGTGTGCCAAGTGTCACCACTACCTTGGAATCGGTGAGACTTTATTTAAAAAGAAATAGCATCCAAGAAATAAAACCCACTACTGTGGGGTTCCAGACAGGCCAGTATCATGTGCTATTCTTCTCTTGCTGCTGTTTGCACGGCTGTATTTGTGTGTGTACACACGTCCACGTGCCTGTGGGAACATGCCAGCCAGAGAGCTGCAGTCCCAACAGTATGCTTTTCCAGGAGAGAGGCTCAGAGAATGACCCCTGCCAAGAGGCAAGCTGAAGAGATTTCCCTTGCAAATTCTGGCTTCACAGCCCTACCCAATAAGGAGTCTCATGAATACCAATGACCCAGGAGCCTCTCTTAGCCCAGAAGCCCAGACCCACAATGTACTTCACATAATAACACCACCCCCTGCAACTTACAGCTCCTAAATTAGGCTGAATAGAGTCCCTGTTCCCCTAAGAGCCAGACAGACCATCAGAAGTAGAACTGCCTGTGTCCTAGCATACCTCCCTAGAGCTACCCCACTCCCCACCACCTGCCTATTTTTAGAAACCGAAAATATAAAAAGAAAGCTCCATTTGGATCTGATCTGTGTGAGTAACTAAGAGAACAACTCAGGTGGGAAACCCCCTCTTCGTGGAGAAGAAAATGCAAGCGATGGGTGCAGCAGCAACCACCTGGCTAAAGACCATTTAGGAAACAGCAGAAGCCGGCAAGGAGACACAGAGCACATGCCCTGGTGACAGGGCCTCCTCCGGTCCAGGCAATGCCTGTGGGGATCCCAATGATTCACACACCTGCCCCCATAAACAGAGCACACCCTCGCAACCCACACACCTCTGTCATCTGCTTTTGCTTACATAACAGCACATGGTGTGACAGGCTTAATACTTTGGGATGGTTTTTCTAAAAGGGACTGCTAACCCCAAGAGGAAGAAGGCCACAAGATGCTTTCACCGACCCCTTTTCAAGTATTACTCTGAGACCCAGCAAGTACGAGCCTTCGCAAATCTCTGCTTGATTATTACCTAAACTTTTTTTTTTAACCCACCAGTGAGGGTGGTCTGGGCACCTTCTCTCTTGTTTGGGAATGGGAGAGGAGTGTAGGGAACCCATTCAATCCTCACTTTGGTTCAAACCCTGACACATCCTGGGCTTCTTTAAACATAATTGGGTGGACATTCATCCTCCACTGACATCCATCCTCAGGTGCCAGTACGGTCTCTTCTCACCCTCACCCATAGCTCGGGAGTAGGCTGCCCACATCCTCTGCTGGGCACACTGAGAGAGGGAAAGAACACAGGTGCACATAATCCCAACACCTACTGACAGACCTCCACGTAGAGACCCATATCTCCCTGGTCCCTAACAGGAGATTTCAAGACAAGCACTTCCTTAAGGATTTCTCTTTTGCATAGGGTTGTTCTTTCCTGCCTGTCAGAACAGATCTCAGCTATCCAGTTAGTGCCCAAGGCTCACCCAGGGAACTCTGAAAGGCAGGGAGAGTGCTGGAAATGACACCAGCCTAGGGGCAACTTTGACGACTTTTCTTTAAACTGGGCATGTCTGGGTCTGTACCCACTACCCATACACTCACAGATGCGGTTTTGATCTTGTTCTGACCTTAGCGTTCTCTCCTGTTACGAATGCACACCTCCCTGGTGTTGCAGGGACAAGCTGGGGGGCATCCCGCTTCTTCCCTCCAGCCCAGAATAAAGGGATGAGAAGAGAACAGCACATATCCCCAGGAGAGAGAAAGAGGGGAAAGACAGACAGACAGAGATTCAGAGACAGAAAAAGGGAGGGGGAGAGGCAGAGACACAGAGAGAGTTGGGAAGAAAGAAAAAGACGGAGATACAGAGAGGGAGCGTCCTAACTCCACAGAAGTACCTCTCTGGAGCTAGAGCAAGTGTCCCCCGCCCTGGGCGGCACCTGTCTCGCTGGCTCCCGCGCCTACCTGTAAGAGACCTGCTTCCGGAAAGTTAAGTCCCTCAGCTTCTCCTCCAGCGCCTCTTCCTTCTCCTTCTGTCCGGCGGCCCCGGGCTCCTCCAGGGCAGCAGCAGCCGCTGCCCCTGCACCCCGCGGGTCCACGCCGCCCTCGGCGCCTAGGCAGCAGCTCCCGGCGCCGCTTCCGCTGCTGCTGCTGCCGCCCGTCGCCCCTTTCTCCTCTCCCGCCGAGGAGCTGGGGTTCATGGCGACCGCTCCGGCGGCCGCGGAGGAAGCTGAGGCGGTGCGGCTGCAAAGGCCGGGCGGGCTGAGGGCGCTGGAGGCAGCGGGAGCGCGGGCAGGTCCGCGCGCCGCTGGCAGGGGCAGCAAATGGCAGCCCCTTCCCGCAGCATCCATCCGCGGCTGCACCGCACCGGGGCATTGTGGGAAACTCCGTGCCTCCACTCCCCCTCCCCAACCAATCAGAGGCCACCTCTCTCCGCCTCCCCTTGGCCTCGCCCGACTAGCCGGCTCCCTCCAATTCTCCCACCCCCTCTCCTTTTTCTAAATCCAGAGCAAAAGCCGGGGCTGAACTTGAACTCTGCCTGCAGGCAATGGACTGCAATGGAGCAGAGAGAGGAAGGGATGGGGAGCCACGGGGCTTCGAACGAACGCTGGGGACGAACACTGGCCATCAGGAAAGGAGAGTGTCCTGGGAAACTTGGAGGCAAGCCTGCCGCGCCCTGGTTAGCGCACAAGGGAAGCGGACTCGGACCCAGGAGCTACTATGCCCTAGCAGTAGCTGGTGAGCTGCTGGGCACGGCTTGGTCCCAGTCCACTGATGCCAGATTCCCAGGCAGCATTTTCTCCGTCACCTCCTTGCAGCATCAGAGCTGGCGCCAGGCAATAACCTCCAGACGTGGGGGACTTTTGGGGGGATGTATCTGGAGCACTATTGGTAGGAACCTCGGGGGGAATTCGTTAATCATGTGAATTATAGAGGGGGTTAGATTAAAGCGCCAGTTTCTTCTTCTTAAGGAGAGGGTTGGGATGTCTTCATCCGTGAACGCCCTCGCCCAGAACCTTGCTTGATGCCTTCCAAAAGCTTAGAAGTGCTCCCTAAACAGCTGTTAATTAGATTGAATCGGATCACAGGATCCTCGGTGAAGCAGAAGTCTGAGAGCATCCCTGAGGCAGAAGTGGGGACCTGAGATGCCTCGTGCTGTGGTTTCCCATGCTGTGGATTCGCAAGAGGAGGAGAGGAGGGGCTCGCCCAGAAAGGGGTTTCTACCAGTTCAGAACCCAAGCCTGAAACCAACTGCGCTGTAGGAATTTAACGACTGCTCCTCTCTCTCTCTCAGTTTTTGTTTCTAAGATTATTGAAGTCTGTGCAATTTGAACGATGGGCTGCAAAGTGTTTAAGACAGATCATTTTCTAAATTAGAGGGTTTTCACCCAAGAAATCTCTGCTGTCAGCAAACACAGGAAAGATCTATACTCAACAGTAGGTGTGTGTAACCAAACTACGTACGTAGATGTACGTGCTAGTAAAGACGGATGTGAGAGCAGTCGCCGTCTGACTTTGCCTGAGCAGAAACCAATTCTTAAATTTCTCTGCCTTTCTTTTGCCACGACTAAAATCAGGAGCTTAAGCAGAGGTATCTCAAACCTCTTCCAGCTCTCACAGTCTGCAATTCCTCTCACATGCACATTATATAAGACAGAGAGGTAGGGACATTTCTAGGGAGAAATGAGGAAAGAATACCTGTTGGGGGTCAGCACTTCACACACACACACACACACACACACACACACACACACACACACACACACACACACACACACTCCTGCATTTCTGTAGCACCTTTCGAGTAACTTTCTTCACAGCCAGGCTTCTTGGTGGTGACTGGTCTTTCTGCCTCTCTGAAATAGTGTACCCCCTCTTCAGAAGGGACCTTTAACCACTTTTATGACAAGATCCACAAACATCTAGATTAAATGTCAACCACTCTAAATTCCTGGACCACTTTCCTCATTAGCCATATCTTCCCCAAACCATTTCTGCCATGTCACCCTTCGACTTTTAAGTATTCCCAATGGAATATCATTCTCAAGGTAAAGTTCACATTGTTCTTGAGGTAGGTAGCTGATCTTTCAAGGCCATATGAGTGCATGGTGGAGGACTTGCCTACTTCCCCTTCACACCGTCATCACAGTTTCACCCAGAGCTGGCTTATGTTCAAATTCATTTTATCTACTTTCTGCTTTTCCCACTCTTATCCTTGCACACTGCAGCCTGCTGTCTCCTATTCTATCTCCAATATCCGCCATGTTGTCTCCTTCGCCTCCATCAGATCTTCGTTTACATATCTGTCTCACCCAGAAGCCTCCATTGATGACCCTTCTAGAATGTGTTGACTGTACATAAATAGGCTTCCATTGTGTTAAGCTTGGACCACAGTAACTGTTTATTGTCAGTCTCTCCTAAGTGTGTGTTGAGGCTATATTATATCCTCTATTAATAAGCAGATCATAGAGTATATGGTAGGCATGTATATCATATGCTATCATTGATTCTCAAGGAAGAAGTTTATTTGGTTTTGAACATACCAAATACGCTCAGATTGACTTTCTGTGAAAGAAACACAAGTTTGAACTATAAAATGCCACCTGTTAGAATGATTTGCTAATAGATGGTGTTGGTGAAGATGATGAGTAGGTAAATTAAGGAAATTTGCTAACATCTATCAATATATGGAAAGTATTACCTAAGCTGGGTATCGGTGGCTCACACCTGTAATCTCAACACTTACTAGAGAGAGGCAGAAGAATGTCTGAAAGTTATAGGTCAGTCCTGTTTATGTAGCAGGTTCCAGGCAGCCAGACTTACACAGCAAGGACCATTTCTCCAAAAACAAAAACAAGAGAAAAAAAAGCATTTCCTAACTAACCCAACAATTCACTTCTCGAAAATTTCCCTCTGGTGTGTTAGTGAGGATTCTCATAATACTTAAGAGTGGAAACAGCCTAGTAATTCTACATTAACATTAATATATGACTAATTACCTATGAGGAATGAAATTCTCTGGAGCCATTTGGAGAAACAGGGGAAATTATATTATTATAAAATGATCTCAACAATAATAGTGTCAACTAAACAAGAAAATAAGGGTCAAGTAAAATGTTCATCATGCTACCACTAATGGAAAAACTAGGATCTATATACACACACATACAACGTACATACTCATGCTTGGAAAGAAATTATTGAGATATATCGGAGTGAGTATGCATACAGAAAAAGAGAAAGCTATACAGCAAAGCAGGGGAGCTCCAGCAAAGTTGAGCAAACCCAGCTAGAATCTTGAGATTTTGCATAATTCGATCAATATGTACTAACGGGAGACATGCTGTCTCCCAAGCTAATAGAAAAGCCTGCCCAACCTATCAGGGTGCATATTTGCATATTTAAAGAGTGTTTCTGTGGGCTGCTAAACAAAAGAAAATGAGTTTTTAAATCTTGCTCTGTGCATATGTACCCTAAATTAAGGCAGAGAGACATCTGGGAGACACAGATAACTAAAGCATAAGAAAAATAAATTCTCTACGGGAGGACCTTCTGAGAAGTTACTGGAAAGATAGACCACTCATTTTCTCTGATATTGTACTAAGCAAACTTGGAATTGTTCACTCAGCGTCCTGTTTTCCTTCTTATTTACTGAGACATGGAATTCCTCAACATGGATCAGAAGCATCCCAATCATAGAAAGGGACATTCTGTTTGAAAATGTGTATGATTCTGAGCGATATGGTTGCAAACAGAATGTGAACATTGCTGGGTCCATGGAAACATTGGTTTCTGGACCCCAGAAGAACTGTAAGCCCATCACTGGACTCCACTCCATGCTCCCTAACTTACCTTCTTATTATTATTGTCCTTCAGCTGAAGCAACTAACATCCAAATCTTATTGAACTTGGTCCTCCATATTAAAAACTTGTTTTCACATTATTTTACATTTATTTACTTACTTACTTATTTAGTGTGTGTGTACACGTACAGATGCTCATGTGTACCACAGCGGGGATCCATTCTCTCCTTCCACCTTGTGGGTTCCAGGAATCAAGCTCAGGCTGTTGGGCTTGACAGAAATCTCCTTAGCCATCTCGCTGGCCCCAGGCTTGCTTTTAAAAGGGGTGTGGGAGGGTGGGATTTTAAAAGAGAAGAAGATGTGAAGTGTGCACTTCGTTCTAAGTCAGCTGAGAAGGTGCTGGGACTAGAAATTTAGCAGCCTATAAAACTGCAAGGCAGATGACAATGCAACCATTATTCTTGAAATAAGTATGCAGGAATTTTTGTGTAATAACACAGGATCGTGTTTTGTAAAAAGCAGTCCCACAGGCATGCATATATTGAAGATCTCGGTTATTTATAGATCAAAAAGAATCATAAAGCTTTTACAAATGTGTGTGAGACAGACAGAAGGAAAGAGTGAGAAAGGAGGGAAATTACTATAAGTAAATACCTAAGGCAGGCAAGGGGAGGAGGGAGGGAAGGCGAGAAGGAGGGAGGGGAGGGGAGAGAAGGGAAGAAGAGTGGAAAGAGGGAGGGAATGAAGATTTTTCTGGAGCTGTGTGTATCACATTCCACAAACTGATGCCTGGAGTCTTCACGAATTCTGTAAGGCCATGCAGGTCTCCCTAAGACTGCTTCTATTCTACTCAGTACCCCAACCATCTGTCCCTCACCCAGGCTGAGCCAGCTCACACCTCTGGACCCTACACTAGCTAGACCTTTACAGGAGGAAACCACAAACCTTCACAGTTCACTCCACCAAGGCGTATTTCTCCTGACACCTCCAAGGCGACGTTTATGAAGAATCTAACCATGTGTGATTAGGTAGCTGGGTGACAGCTGAATAAGCATTTGTGTCCTGACTTTAGTAGCCGTTCCAAGAAAAAGGATACACATAAGTTAAAACAAAAAGATAATGTGTACAAATATGTTTCTGTCTGAGTTCCTTGGAAACCAGATCCTGAGGCAACGCTTGTAAACCAGGCATTTATTGGTGTCTTAGTTGGGGTTTCCATTGCTGTGATAGAACATCATGACCAAAGTAACTTGGGAAAGAGAGGGTTAATTTCAGCTTACAACTCTTAGGTCACTGAGGTAAGGACAGGAAGTGACGCAAGGGCCATGGAGGAGTGCTGCTTACTGGCTTGCTCCTTGTGGTTTTCTCAGCCTGCTTTGTTATAGCACCCAGGGCCACCAGCTCAGGGGTGGCCCCACCTACAATGGGCTGAGCTTTCCTGCATCTGACATTAACCAAGAAAATCCCCCACAGGCCAGTCTGGTGGTGGCATGTTCTCGATTGAGTTTCCCTCTTCCAAAATGACTCTAATTTGTGTCAAGCTGATATAAAAGCAGCCAGCA